TGTCCCAGAGTTTGTAAAATGTTCTGTTAATTCAGTCTTGTCCACCGAAAGCTGGTGTCTGACACCAAGAGACCCCTGCTCTTCTCAGTTTTCTCCATGGAAGGGTTCCTGAAAATGGGGAGTTCCTGCCAACCACCCCACAGCAGTATGCAGGCCACCAGCAGAGGACACTGTCAGTTGTGCCTGGCCTTCTATGTCTGTGCAGTAGGGAACATGGTTCCAGGTACAGTGCATGGCACAGAACACTCTTGGAAGAAAAGAGTGTGAGAAGCTTTGCTCCTGTGCCCAGCTGTCAGTGGAAACTCGGGCCATGGGAAATGTTCAACCATTGAGCCCAATTTACAGATTTAATGGTAGGAGACCCTGGGAAGTTGGGTGGCCCCTGCATAGCCCTGTGCATGCTCAAGCTGGCTCTCCTCTATTGGGTGTGGCCATCATCCTTCTTGGCATCACCTCTCAAGAGCAGAGCCCCTCAAACTTTAACATCCATAGGAATTACCTGGAAATCTGTTAAAACACCTTCCTGGGCCCATGCCCAGACTCACAATTTCATTCCCTATGAAGAAGATCTCAAAGGAACTTACTCCTGTCCTCCTCCACCCCCACACCAACTCACAGTTTGAGAAATGGGCCATCAGATGGAGTTTCCTCTAAATCTAAACACCCTTCAGGCATCTCTACCCCATGGTAGTACAGTGACAATACAAGTCTCTGTGCCCTCCACATGGCCCTTACCCAAGCTCCTGTACAGTTGCCACTCAGCTCTCCCCTGCATCCTTGCCAGGGCCTTCTCTGCACCTCTTCAGGCACTTCTGACCCATCTTGGGGAGTCTCAGGTTTGAACATCCCAACACCCTAGCAGTTCCCAAAGCCATTTCAGCCTGCCCCTTTTCATTACTGCTGAGCCGCACTCCTGAGGCACACCCCCACATGCTCCACGCAGCTAAGGTGATGCTGGGTCCCTCACTCCAGTCCTTTCATCAACACACTCTACCTCCCAGGAGCCTAACCTACCCTCTTGCAACTACCACTGTCCTTGAACTGGGCTACTTACTCAGTCACAGTTCATCTTCCTGCTTCCTTGCTTCTCCTGTTTCTTGTTCTCTTTTACTTCCTTGGGACATAATCTTGCTTCGTATACAGTCCAAGTTTTATATAGAACCCAAGTGCCTCCTGCCTCAGCATCCCAAGTGCTGGGGTTACAAGCATGTTCCTTTATGTGCCCAGAGAACTCAATGCTATCTTGTCTTCCCTGTGAAGATGTTTCTTCTCCAGTTCTTCCTAATCTGCCTGTCCCTGTCAACTAGCACAGACGGGAAAAAGGCACCCACAAAAGGGTGGACTATTCGAGTCTTCCCAGGTTGTTTTATCTCCATTCCAGGGACAGCAGGGCCCCTCTTTCCTAGCAAAAGCGTCAAATTTTGTATCAAGACACCTTCTGACAAATTCTTTTGTACTTAATTGGTGAAAATTGATTTCTGTCCAGAAAAGCCATGGTCCTATTCATCTAACTTTAATGGTTTTCTTTAAATATGCCAAAGCAGAACGGTGTCCTTGGCCACATAGCATATACTCAAAAATTAACTGGGCTAACTGAGTATCTCTAGGGCCTGTTCAAGAGCCCTCCCATAGCAGCATGGGGTCTTCCCGCCCCACCCGTTGTCTTTGGGTATCTTACCATATCTTATGATGTATGTCAGTATCCCCTGGAAATGTGTATTCTTTAAGGCCAACCCCTGAAGAGATCCACCTTTGATCTCAGCAGAGATAGAATTCTGAGTTCTGAAGCAACCTAGTCTATATAGGAAGTTCCAGACAAAATTTTCTTTAATAATAATATTAATAATTAATAATAATCCAGCTCTGCGGCTCTGATTAACCCAACCCCAGCCCTGACAGCTTACCGGGATTTTTTGGCTCCTCCTCACCGACTGGAGGCAGAGGAGCTGCTGGCTTCTCCTTAGTCCGTTCCCCCTTCTTGGTTACTGCACCGGATGACTTCTGGGTCCCAGGACGTGGAGTCCTAGGTGAGGTTCCTGTAGAACTCGGCTCACTTGACATACTGGTGGTTCTGGGTCCCTCAAGTGACAGGCAAGATGAGACAGGGCTCTGTGGGCCTCACCCTGAGGGTCTCCACTCATCGGATCCAATTGGCCAGCAACTGTACAACTGCAGGCTCTAGAGTCCCTCTCCAGGACAACCGAGCCTGGTTGGGTGGGGCTGTGGCCAGAGCAACGGCAAAGAGAGCACGTGACCGGCGCCTGATTGCCCCGACCAGAGCGAGTGGGCGTGGTTTGGTACTGTTCGGGTCTGAACAGCAGAGCCCAGGCAACCTAGGGTCCGTGTAGATCCTGGGGCAGAGGGGACAGACTCCTAACAGGCCCTACTCACAGTGATGCGGGGAGCCGGGGCGACACTGAGCAGGGAGGTGGTAGTGGGTGGAGGACACTCAGAAGGGGGACTTCAGGCTTATTCTCTAGACAGAGTCCCCAGTGGCTAAGAGCAAGGCGCTCAGGCCTGAGTTCTCTCCTCTTCGGCTTCCTGGAGGACTGGAGGCTCAGTCTGATTGACTGGATCCAGGAGTTCCATCCTTAACCATTTTGCTGCCCTGGGCCCCTTTGGAGTTGCTCGGCTTCCTCGAGCCTGGCACCTCATTCAATACCACTACATGGACCCCAGCACTTCAAGCACTGATGCTGCTCCCTGCAGGGAAGCTACTTCTAAGATCTCCGAGCTAGGCTCTGAGGGTTACTCAGAACACAGGTACTGGTGTTTACCACAGTTATCGCTGGCACTGCCATTCAGCCACTCAGCGTTTAAAGGAACATTTATTGACTACCGTGTGCCAAGGGAAACCAACAGTGAACATAAGCACGGAGCCCTGCATTCAGGCAGCTTGCGGTCGGCCTCCCCACTAGGGGGCGGCAGAGGCTAATCTAGTAACATGGAAATCACATCATCACTGTGCAGTCTGAGGCCTGTGCCGTCAAACCCAGCACTTAGGAGGCAGAGGCAGCCAGACCTCTGAGTTCAAGGCCAGCCTGATCTACATAGTGAGTTCCAGCACAGCCAGGGCTACATAGTGAGACAAGGTCTCAAAAACAAAATAATAAAACAAATCCAAGTCCTGTCTGGCACCACTCCTGCCTTCTGCAGATGTGTAGAGAAGAAACATCAGCAACAAAGGAGAGAGGTATGGTGGGTACAAGCAGGAGTCAACAGGTAACCCAGGAAGGCTGAGCTCAGATGTGCCAGTCCCTGGAGGAGGAGGAGGGATGGCAGATAGCCTTCACTCCAGAAAAGAGTGAAACTAGGCAGGAGAGGTAGGCTGCAGGGCCACCGAGGCACAGGAAGTTGACTGTGTATAGCCCAAGAGTACCAGGGAGATAAACACCACAGGCAGGGCACAACAATCAGAGCAAAATCACGGAGGATTACCAAGTGAAGGGTGGGCAGGTAGCTAGAGCCTGCTGTTGTTGGAGCTAGTTAAGTGTAGAGGCTAGCTATGTGGGAAGTGCAGAAGGCAGAAACTGTGCCTGACACCCTCTGAAGCCAACTAGACACACACAGCCCCACCTGGGTATATGCACAGAGAAGGTACCCGACACATGTTTTTAAAATCAATCTAAACTCAGACTTACACACCACAACATTCAGCCCACCAACTATGTCCACAGAGCCTAGGAACACTGGGTTGAAGAAAGGGAGTTAGACAGTTTGTCAACTGGTGTCTCCCTTGGTGGAAGCTGAGAGCCAACATCAGTCTCTCTGTTCACGTCATCAAATGTGCTTGTCCATGGCCTGCTGGTCCAGTCCCTGCTCCTGGCAGGGTATACAGGTCTATCCCACACCATGCTGACTCCTCAGCGGTCCTGTCGCCGAGGTGGAGGTGATGGTGGATGCCTTACCGGAGGCAAGTCGTAGTGGCCAGGGATGTGGCTGTTCTTGGGTGAGTCATAGTGGCCAGGAGGCAGGCCTGGAGGAAGAGGGGGCGTAGAGCCCACAGACTCCTGATCTGAAGACAGAGAGGACAGCGTGAGGTGACCCCTCCACCTCCCCTGGCTCTCTAATTCCAGGCTCGTCCTACCCGTGGAGAAGTGAACGGCAGGGTGTGTGGGATGGCCGGGCCAAGCACCTGCCTCCCCCACCTGTCCACCTCAAAGGACATGAGGACACTCTCCCACAACCTTGGTCTCCACTTTACTGGATGCTAACACCCTCTCAAACACTCAGCCTCAGGGTGAGGAACAGACTTGAAGAAGCAGGCAACTCCCCTAGTGTCATGCCTGGTTTGAGACCAAACCACCCAAAGGCCTGCTCTTGTCATATCATGCCACCTTCTCTCCCCTCCCCTTCTTCCTTCCTACTTCCCATGTTCCAGTGCCCTGTAGCCTCTGCTGAGGGCAGGGAGGACTCACTATGGCTCAACGGGCTGGGCTGCTCATAGGTGCCACTGTCTCTCTGTGGCTGCAGTTGCCGCTGCTGGCTGTCACGAATATGAAGAGGCAGCCTGGGAGGAGACCCTGATGGCGGGCCTTTCATCTCCACATAGCTGCTTTCTCGGGGTTCCCCAGGCAGGCCGGGCAGATCTCTGATGGTAGCATAGGGGTTCTCACTGCTCAGGGACATAACACTTGCCCTCAGGCCCTCTTCAGAAGTGGGGCCTAAGGGTCAAGGAAGGAAATCAGGCTCCTGGAGGCACTGGCTCCTTGACCCAGCTTCCCTTCCCCTCCTTGCCTCTCTATTCATACCTTTATGACAGAATGGTCCTGGACCGTTCCTGTGGCTATAGCTACAGCTATAGCTTCGGTCCAGGTGGCTGGAGCCTGGGAAAAGGCAAATAGGAGTCAGACCTCTGGTCCCTCCCCAGGCCTCTTCTGAAACTAGGCTCTCCCCATCCCCACCCCACCAAGATGATCCAGCAGGTGAGGCCGCACACATTCACCTCTCTGGCCTCTACCTCTGTCATGGGGCTCTCGTCGGTGCTTCCAGTCTGCGGGAAGTGTAGCATGATTATCACGGGCTCTGCCTGGCCGCTCAGGTGCCTGGGAGGTGACAAAGAGCTGACTCCCTGGAACCTGATGGGGGATGATGCCTCAGGGAGAGCACAGGCAGGTTTGAGGCTTTCCTGAAAAGTCAGCCGCCCCCACCCACACGCCAAGCATACCCCCTCAACGCACTGACCTTGTTAGGGGGTGGGGGGTTAGGAGAGCACTGAGACAGAGTGTGGTAGCTAGGGTTGGAGTAGTAGTGACTATAGCTCGGAGAGACATCTGCAGGGCAAACACAGGTGCAGAGTAGCTCAGAGACAGGCAGAGGCCAGGACGGCAGCAGTTTGACCCCCCTGACTCCAGCCATTCTTCCACCCCACACCCCATGAGGGAACAGTCAGCAGCACCCCACTGACCTTCACTCACTTAAGCTCACCCCAGCTCACCTGGCATGACATAATCAGAGCCATCCAGTCGCCCAGAGCTGTAAGCCACTGCCAAGTGCTCGTGTTCCTTGCCCTTTTGCCAATGGCGGTAGCCGATGAACAGTGCTACCAGGGCCACCACAAGGGTCCCCAGTACTGCAATGCCAATCACTGCACCCAGTGAGTTATGGGTCACAGGAGAGGTGGGCATGATGGTGGATGACTCCTGGATTCCTGTGAGATGAAATGGGCACTGAGACTGGCACCTTGGTTCTACTAGTGAACATGGATGCAATTTAAGGAAGACAGAAATGGCATGAGGACCCTGGGTCACAGAACCTTGGAGAGTCAAAGAGTCCAAGAACTCACCCAACTTGCAGGGTGCACCACTGTGTCCTGGAGGACAGACACAAGCCCCGGTCTCTGGGTGGCACCTCTCTCCAGGACCACACTGGCATAGCTGGGAGCAGTTGACACCAAATACTCCTGGTGGGCAGCCTGGATAGAGCCAAGGAGGCAAGTAGCAGTCAAAGAGCCAGCAAACTGTAGCCTCCTCTTGGATAAGGACTATGGTGTATTCAGGGAGTTAGCTCTCTGTTGGTACCTTCCAAGCAATAGGGTCCAGTCCAGCCTGGGGTGCAGGCACAGCTCCCATCCTGGGGGTGGCAGGTTCCACCATGATGACATTGGCAGGGCTGGGAGCATTTGAGTCCCCAATGACCTGGGGGACATGCTGCAAGAGACAAGGGGCTGTCAGGCAGGGCCAGGCCACCCCCTCTGCATGAACTCTGAAGTCTTCAGCTTGGCCTTGCTTGGAGATACTAAGGCTCTGAAGGGCATCTACACACTGATGTCACTCAAATGTTCATCTCTAGCTATCTTGACCTACTACCCACTTGATATCTGGCTCTTGACTCCCTAACGGCCATTTTGGAATCATGTACCCAGAGCTAGGGAACCAGAATCTTCCCAACAGGCCCTGGAGGGCTCAGCACTGGGTTTGTTTTTTCTGTTTTCAAACATCTGCCTCCTACCTGGAATTACAGGTGTGTTAACTAATACACCCAGCCTAATACATTAGCTGTGTGTGTGCTCTTAGTAAATAATCTAATAGTAGACACTACTGAATCCCATGCAGAAAACTACAAAAAAAATAACAGGCAAACACTTCACCAAGAGCATTTCTTTTTATGCCCTGACTGCAGAAATGCAGCCAACATCTCCCTTCAAAACATGTTTCTGCTGCCTAGACTAGGCATTTCTTTATCATCATACAGTTATGTGGGAGATGACGCACAATAAAAATAATGTGAGAAAGATATAAAACAGCCATGGCTGCTGGGGGAGGGAAACCCATGCTCCAATCAATAGCCCCACAACCACACAGGCAAACAAACTGGACTCAGTGGGTTACAGAAAAGGAGCAGACACTTGGGTAGAGAAAGACATATTAGGGGGCATGAGGGAGAGTGGGATTTGATGGAGACACATAGTTTATGTGCATGAAATTTCCAAAAAGTAAAATTAATAGTTTAAAATAAAAATATATATTAATTTTTTAAAAGGAAGAGAAAATAATATGCCCAAGCGGGAACTTCTTGGGACCTGCTGTTCCATAAATACCCTACCCTTTCCAGGTTCTGGAAAGGCAGAAAATTTTTCCCTCTGATGTGTTCACTGTTGCGTCCTCCACTAAAACCAGTTCCCAGCATGAAGGATTTTTCCTATTGTACAGATAACCGAGTAAGGTGATAGGGGGGCTTCTGCCCACAGCCAAGAGACTGAGGTCCCAGGGCTCAGCCACCCAAGCAGCAGGCACAGCTGCTCCCACACAAGCTGCTACGCACATTCAGAGCAATCCGGGCCCGTCCAGCCTGCCAGACAGTAGCAGGTCCCGTCCGAAGGGTGACAGGAAGAATGGTTGTTACACTTGCAGGGCACACAGCGTTTGCCATAGCGACCAGGCTGACAGGCTGGGGAAAGGGATGCAAGGTGATTGGGGGGCCTTGACCAGAGTCTCCCTTCCCACCTCCCCCTGGATTAACTAACTATCCTGGAGATGAGAGTCAGAGGCAGAACCCAAGGGGTGGACTAGGGCTCCTGAATCTGAACTGCTAACAGGAGGGGGAGGAGTACAAGGAGCCTCACGCCTCTGGCAGGAGGGGCCTCGGAACCCTGGTGCACACACACAGTTGCCACTCTCAGGTACACAAGTACCCCCGTTTTTACAGGTGCAGGTATTGCTGCAGTTGGCTCCCCAAAAGCCCTCTGGGCAAGGCAGGTGGCAGCGTGTACCTGTAGGAGACAACTAAGGGTCATCTCTCATGGAGTACACTCCCAAGTCCATAGCAGACCTAAGACCTAGACTCCCAGAATGCTCACCCATCCAGCCAGCCTGACATTGGCAGTGTCCATGAACAGGGTCACAGCCATCAGAGTGGTCACAGTCACAGACACTGGCACAACCTTCACCAAACTGCCCCTTCTTGGAGAATAAAAGGAGGGGAGAGTAGGCTAATCAGTTGAGGGATGCTGTGCCCTCCCCTCCCCCAGGAAGGTGGGCTGTGATCACTCACCGGGCAAGGAAGCTGGCAGTGAGCTCCATGCCACCCAGGGGTGCAAGTACAGGCTCCAGTTTGGGGACTGCAGACTCCCTCATGGGCACACTGGCAACTGGCATTGCAACTGAAGCCCCAGGTGCCAGGGGGACAAGGTACAGAGCAGTTACCACGCTGCCAACCTAGAGAAGGTAAGCAGGTATACACTGGGTGCCAGCTATACCAGCTTTATGCTGTGGGCTGGGCATGAGAAAAGTATGTGAACAAACAGTTCAAAGTCTTATTTATCAGTTCCATTGTCTGGGCCTCCCATGGCTTCCACCCCACCTGGGCCTCCTCCTCCTCTATTCTCTCCCCCACACCTGGGCCTCCTCCTCTATCTTCCCCCACACACCTGGGCCTCCTCCTCCATCACCCCCCCCCCAGGCCCACTTCCAATAAGCTCTGTCCTGGTAGTGCTCTCCTTGCCCTCCCCCCTCCCCCAACTAGTCCATTACCTTCCTTGCAAACGCATGTGCCGTCGATGGGGGAGCAGGCGATGGCATTTTCGCAGGAACAGTGGGAGGAGCAGTTGATTCCATAAGTGTCCGGTGGACAAAGGTTAGCGCAGTGAGGTCCCTGAAGGCAGAAGGTGCACGAGTGAGGGGTGAACCAGACCACACCCCACTTCTCCATTCCCCGTGGTGGGGCACAGCCTCACCGTGTATCCGGGTGCGCACCGGCAGAGGCCGCTGTCTGCAAGGCAGATGCCGCCATGCAGACAGAGGCAGTGTTCCTGGCAGCCCGGCCCGTGCGTGTCCTGTGGGCAGCTCTCATTGCAGTGTAGGCCCGCCCAGCCTGGCTGGCAGGCGCATTCACCGTGCATAGGGTGGCAGCTGCGGGCGCAGGAGGGGACACGAGTGTCTGAATTGTATTACAGAGGCCACTTCCTCTGCAGAGCACGAGCAGGGAGCTCCAGGCCACTCCCGCCCCCTTCCCAGGCCCCCTCCCTGATCCTCTGTGGCATCTGTGTCCTTAGCTATACCCTGGTACTCTCCCTTTCTCTGTTGAATCTAAAACAAGAACCTTGCTCCCTTGACGGTGTTCTGCCCACCTGAGACTGTGATCCGGGTCGCAGGTGCAGGGCTCCTGGCAGCTGAGACCATAGAGGCCATCCGGACAGAGGCGCTCATTGCAGCGGTCGCCTGTGAAGCCATGTTCACACAGACACGCGCCATTGGCAGAAAAGCAACGGGCACCAGGGGCGCAGTCGCAGGTCTCAGCACAGTCTTGCCCAAAACGGCCCACAGGGCACTCTTCACGGCACCTGGGTGCCGGGTTAAGTCCAAGTTACGGCTGTATAAATTGGGCTCTACCTCCTCCTGGTCCATACCAGCTCCCCAAAGTCACATACTCACCGATCCCCGATATAGCCAGGAGCACAGTGGCACTGCCCAGTAAACCGGTCACAGAGGCCACCATTGTGGCAGCGACATTCATGGGTACAGTTGGGTCCATGGAAACCCTCTGGGCAGGGCAGGGAACATATGTCACCCTGTGGGTGGGTGAAAAGTCACTTAACCCCCTTCTCATGGCTGCTGGCTGTTAGACACCCTCACAGGCTCAAGGCCCTCAAACCTCTCCAGGGTCCTGAGAACCCATATCATGAAAACACTGGCCAGTAGCCCTATCGAAAGCCACCCTCAGAATTCTCTTGGGCATCCCAACCCCATGCATACAGGCTTCACCCTTCATACCATCCAGCCAGGAGGGCAGCTGCAGGAGTCTTGGGGGACCTGAAAAACACCTCCATTTTGGCAAGGATTGGTTCTAGGGCAGAAGTAGCCGGCAGTGCCCTGTGAACAGGGCACACTACAGCTGTGGAACAGGTGAGTCAGAGTGTCATAGGAAGAACCTTCACCTGGCCCTCTCTTCTCCCCAAGGCTGGCTACCTGCACAGAGGGGTCTCTGAGGCAGGTAAATGCCAAAGACATCAGCAGGTGGGGAGAGCAAGTGTGCGCCCCAGCAAGCAGGCTCCTGTGCCCCTCTCACCCTGCTCAGGTAGTCCCCTTTTGACACCTGCTCCTACTATAGTTTTTCTACCCTGGACAGTAACACCACAACCCTTTCTACACATGGCCTTGCAAGCAGTTCTGCCCAGGTCCTCACTCAACTCAGCCTCCCTTAACAACTTGCTCGCTCTCTCTCTCCCTCCCTCCCTCCCTCCCTCCCTTTTCCCTCCTCTCTCTCTCTCTCTCTCTCTCTCTCTCTCTCTCTCTCTCTCTGTCTCTCTTTCTCATGCTGTGATTGTGGTAACTGCTTGGCTGGGACCCAGCAGGAGCTGGGTTAAGATCTTGGTCTCTCAACTCCATCATTTCCTCATGCATGGTCCTGTGTCTATAGCCTCATCACACACCTGGGTCCTGTTTTCCCTGGGGGGCAGAAGCAGGCTCCATTCTGGGGGTCACAGGAGGCCCCATGGCAATGGCAACCAAACTGGCAGTCAGGACCATAGTGGCCAGGAGAGCAAGTCTGAAGGCAGTTGGGGGGCTGCAGGCCAGAGGGGCAAAAACACACCCCACTCTTGGGATCACAGGAACTGCTATTGCCGCAGTGGCAGAGCTTGTCACACCGTGGCCCCCACACTCCTGGGGCACACTCTGTGGAACAGACAATGGGAGAGAGTCACCAGGCACTTCGAACTTCCCTAGCTTCCAGTTAGACCCAGCCTCGTAGCCCACACCCCATATCCTCTACCACACCTCCAGAAAGGCATCTAACAGCAATGGACTCTGATAAAAAAACCATCCCTGAGTCTCTGACAACTTACCACTAGAACAGTCATCACCTCGCCAGCCTGGTGCACACTGGCACCGATTGGGAGCCACACAGCGACCATGGACACACTCCTGGGCACAGAGTGCTGGCCAAAGATGGGATGAATGAGATGATGCCTCCATCCCACCCTCCCGCCTTTGAGCTATGAAGCCAGAGCCATTTCCTCCCATGCCAGAGGCCTGCAGGTCCCCAAGCATCAGCTGTGTTGGAGATGAACACTTGGGAACGACCCCAGGGGTCCAGGCTCCCTGACCCCTTTCTGTGAACATGTCTAAACATCTTGTTGGGAAACGGGGGAATTCTCAAGTGGTAGTTGGGAGATGTGGTCAGAAAGGTGAGAGGCTGAGGGGAGGGCTAAGTCAGGCTGGGGAGTAGCCTTCAGGGACTGGTGACAGAGGATGGCAGGGGCCCATCTGAAGATAGGCTCACAAGATGCTAGGAACAAGAAACTGGACAATAGCAAAGTAGGTCCAGCCTCCATTTCTAGACCCTCTTCTAGCCCTGTTACCCCAACCCCAGCTACAGCTACTGGCCAAAGGAGAAGACAGTTGCAACCCACCACCGCCATACCCCTCCCTAGGGCAGGGAAAATTCTGACGGATGGGTCCCTCCCGTCCTACCCTATTCCATTCCTACCCTGACCCAACTCAGGACTCACGGACACAGGCTCCACTGCTCTCATAGTAACCCCCACAGCATTGCAGGCGTGGGCGGGAGTCAGTCTTCACCACCTGACGGTACACAGTGCGGTACACAACCCTGCCGTGGTCCAGAAGATGACCATCAGTGCTCTTAGCTGAGGCCCTGGCTGACCTACCTTTACCCCCCACCCCGTCATACCTCAGTGAGGCACTAGAGGGAGTCAGAGGGTCAGTGTTCCCTCTTTGCCCCACATCAGCCACACATGTATAATAAAGCAGACACACCTTCATAGGACACATGGGTGCCCACTATGGACAGGAGAGTGCCTTGAAGTCAGAGTGTCTTCTGGCACCAAAGTTTCTGAGAGGGGCCAGGGCTCAACCAGCTACTGACTCACAGAAGGATAAAGCACTCACGTGGGCTGAGAGCAGGTCTGGGGGTCCTCCCAGGGCCTGTCACAGGGCTCAGCCGGCAACAGGCTGAAGGGGCGTAGGTGGGACTCCTTCATGGTGGTGGTGAAGCTGTGGAATGAGAGTGGTTAAGCCCAAGACAGCCCTGGCCTGAGTTGGCAGGGTGCAGCAGAGAGCCAAGGCCAGGCTTCACCAGGTAGAAACCAGTACCCCTAGTATTTGGGCTTCCTCGCCCTACGGCCCCCATGCGTCTTACCTAGAGGCCCCTTCTAGAACTGAAATGTTCTAGGACTCCTCCCATCATAGGTATTTCTCAACCTAAGGGCCAAAGCCATACATACATACATACACACACACACACACACACACACACACACACATGCACGCATGCATCCGCAAATACCTTCTGATGTGGGAAGACAGGAAGACTGAACTTGGCTGCTCAATCTGGACCTAGCTGGCAGCAATGAACTGAAGCATTTTTGGCTAACTTCTGCCCTGAGCCGTTTTACAGTCCTGTCCCTACCTTCTCCCCACCCCCACCCCAGCCAGCCCCACCAGGGACAAGGACAGGTAAAAATCAGGGTCAGAGACAGGGCAGAAACTGAGACAAGGGCAGAGGTGGGGAAGGTCAAAGGCCATGGAAGGGCACAAAGAGACCAGAAACAGATTCCAAGGAGGAGCCACCCCTCCAGGACAAGCATCAAGCTTGGGGCCCTTCTCACCTTTCCCAAAAGGTGCAGACATTGGGATCATTGGAGTTGAGTGTTCTGGCCAGACGAAGGCCTAGGGCCAGGAGGAGGAGGAACCGCAGAAGTGGCAGCATTTCAGAGGCCTGCAATAGGGCACACAGCAACTGAAGAGTGGCCAAAAGCATGCACTGCATTGTCAAGCAGTAGGCACACTGAAGAGACCAGCCACATGGCAGGGCTCCACCTCCCCCAGAACCCCAACAGTTCTCTGTGGCTCCACAGGTCTCAGCTCAGTTTGCTAACACAGATTCCAGCCTTCATTTTTTTCTGGAATTCTGTGCCTTAAGCCTGGTTTGAGTGCCACATTGTTTTTCTGTCGGCTCCCTGACAACTCCACCTACCACCCCCAAACACACACACACAGATACACACACAGACAGACACAGACACAGACACACAGACACAGACACACAGACACACAGACACACACACACACACTGGATGGCACCATGCTCATCTCTTTTAGAGCCTCCTAGCACCATTTCCTATATATCAACTTCGACTGTCACTTGACCACTCCCTAGCCTAGCAAATAAATGCTAAGGACACTGGAAGGTGTTCACAGTATGAACCTGGGACCGATGAAGGAGGTTCTAAGGGAAGCCAAGAAAACTTTCAAATGGCCAGGACAGTTCAACATCAGATGCCACTGACAGCAAGCTTCAGTGTGTGTGGGCAGAGGGTAGCCCAAGCCGCTCTAATGAAGTACTGTCAGGAGGTCCTTGCCAGGGGGATGGCAGTGGGGCTGCAGCTGGGTGACCACACAACCACTGCTGCGCTCCAAGAGACAATTTCCATCTTTCTCTGACAGCTCTAGGAGCCTGGCTCCCTCTCATCTAGGAGCCTCATCTGGCTCCTCCACACCTGGGCCTCTCCCCAGGGTGGGAAAAGTCAGGACCCCGGATGGGATGAGTTTTTCTCTGACCACCTAGGCTCAGGAAAAGCCGATGGCTACGGGCCACCCCTCTGTGTCTGTTTCTAAAACTTGCCCAAGCTCCCTTTCTCTGCTCTCCAGAGATACCCACATCTGCTTGTAATTTTTCGCCGAGAAGAGAGGTCGCAGTTGCTGGCCCCTTACACCCCTGAGTATCTCTCAGATGCTGTTGCAGCCCCACCCCGCCCCCCCACCCACATATCCCCACACACCATGACTCTCTCAGCTCAGCTAGGGCACCTTCTTCTCAGATATACACAGGCTCCCTAGCTGACCCCCAGCTCCCTGCTGTGCTCCATTCATCTCTAGCTTTAGCCCTCTAAGAGTTGAATTTCCCCTTCAACTTTACTCGTGTTACTGCTGCCCAGAGTGAACTCCCAGCCCCTTCCATGGCCTAGAGACGCTCATGCCAAACCTCCAGTCTTCTCAGCCATTTCTACCTCAACCAAGTAACTCACCAGTGATGCCAGCATGGAAGCCTGGCTGGGAGTGTGAAGCTCCACCCTCTCCATCAGGTGTGAAGGGGTCCCATTTGGCTGGCTTGGCTACTAGGCTGACATTGTGGCCTTGGGACATGGGAGTCAAGGGAGCCCCACCATAGAGGTACCCAATGCTACTCACAACCTGATCCCGTGGGTGTTACCACCAAACACATCCCCACCCCTACAAAGTCAGTTCCTACTCTCAAGGTTCTCAAACTGTCCCCTCCAACCTTGCCCTACTCACTGCCCACCAACAGGGTTGGCTCAAACTGGTCCACTCTACTCTTCCCAACTCCCCCAAGGGTGTTCCACAGCCAGGGCCATGGACAGAACCCAGAACTCTCCACGTTTCTGCCCTACTCTGATTCTTTCCCATACTCTATTCTTCCAGAACCTTGGGCTCTAGTCAAGATGCAGTCTCACCCAGGAAGTCAGACATGGGACCCAGGGAGCTGCCCTGTCCCATCTGTCCCTAGAGTCCTATAGGGAAGACTGAGCTAAGGTTAAGTAGGCTGTGCTGTGGCTGCATAAAGTCCTTCCCAGTTTCACCTGCCCTTAACCCCAGACCAGGAGTACGATCAAGTGTTGCCCCATGCCCCTCTTCAGTTCGGCTGGGGGCTCAGGAGGGCCCTGCACAAAACAGGGGGATTATGGGAGATGACTGGCTGCAACCCTGCTAGGCAGCTAGATGGCTGGAGAAGGACTACCTTCCCTCCTCCAAAGGCCTTCGGGGTGGGGCTGCATTGCGGAGGAGGCTTCAGCAGCTCTGTCCAGGGCTAGAAGCCAATATGGGGTGTCAGCAGAGACCAGTGGGTGGCCAATAGGGAGGGGAAATGGGGGAGGTCCTAGCAGAAAGCAGGATTTTACCTGACCATTCCCAGCCTGGGAGATAAACACAGTTCTGATAAGGACCCCAAATCCTCCAAAGCTGGTTTGGGGGGGGGGGAGTTGGTATACCTGATGCCTATTTCATGAGCCTCCAGCTCCTCTCCAGTTCCAGTAGCACCCAGCCTCTAAGACTATACACCCATCAAGGGGCTTAGTCCTTCGTTCCTGCTCCCTGCCCTAGGAGACCCCTCTTGGGCCCCTTTTGCTCAATTTCCACCTCCCACCAAGCTTCTGCTTTGACAAAGGGCCTTCCCTCATACCCCATCAAAATGTGACCCTGTACTGGGAGCAAGTGACTCCCATAGGGCACTTCACTGAAAGCTTCTGTCAGCCCTGGCTAAGAGTGCTACTATCCAGTCCACAGTCGAGGAAGCAGACTCAGTAAATATAGGAGCCTGCCCAAGCCCCACAGCCAGTGGTGTCAGAAGAGGGATCCAAACTCCAGCAGCAGCAGAGGCCTCCCAACAGCTCTATTTCTGGATAGGGAATAGGAAACCCAGGGACTTGATATCTTTACAGCCTTAGTTATAGGAGTGGGGAGCTGGCCAGGGACAGACCAGCGAAGGGGAGGGGACACTGCCACTAGAACATGATCAGAGGCGTGGGAACCGAGATGAATGCAGTCAAAACCAACAACTTTCCTCTCCCACCTCCATATGCAAATTGCTGGGCTCTTGGCCAGGCTCAGCTCCATTTCCTGCCTGCAAGGCTACGAGCTACATTCCTGACTCTCAGCCTCCAAGTCCCACAGGGCCCTGGCCTGTTCCCGCTCCAAGAGCCCCCTACTCTCACTACACCCCAGCCTCTGGGAGGAGGAAGTGAGTCTAGGGCCTCTGGGAACTGGTAGATGGTTGAGGGTTGTTAATCAGAAAACAGCAAATGGGAGTGATGGAAGGAAGACGTTGGAACTCCTGCTTCCAGCTCCCCTCACCCGCTGAGCAGCAGTGTAGCATGGGGTAACCCCTGCACCCTGGCCCTTTTACTCCAGCTCCAGAGAACAGTAACATACTCTTGACACAAGGTTACTGTACAAATTAAATGTGGTGACACACTCGGGGCCAATCCGTAACACGCACCATATTAGACGTACCCAGAGTCCGCAGGACCTCCTGCATTCATTCCCCTTGCATTCGTTCCAGCAAAAACTGGAGGGCTGTTTTTTTCTTTTTTTCTTTTTTCTGAAGAACCCCCACGATGATCCGGGAATAAACAGGGTTGAAAACGCTGACAGGGAGAAAGGAAGTGGGGGGTGGGAGGAGGCCAGAACCTGATCCCCAGAATGATGGGCTGCCTGCCAGGTGCATCTTCAAGCTAGAGCCAGTAACAGGGCAGGATCCCTGAATCTCTGCCCTCCCTCACCCCTGTAGTACCAACTCCAAATCCCTGATACCCCCCATCGTGCAGTCCAGAGAGTCTAGTCCTGTCCCACCACTGTGTGACTGGTTCTGAGCCTCCATCCACATAGCAGCCTTCCTAATAACCTGGCATTTTTTTTTTCACACTTTTTCTTGTTTTTCACCAGCACTCTTTTTCTTTTCATTGCTTCCCTGGTCAGGGAGTCTTCCATTCTCCTCTTTCTGTCAAGGCTGTCATGGACAGTCAAGCAGTATGTCCTGTCCCGTCCGCACCCCCCTCCAACACACACACACACAATGCAGCTTAGCTTGGTGCTGAGGCGGGCATCTATGATACCTGTCTCTTTGCCCTTTCCTAAGCTGTCTTTGCCATTGAGACACTGCTGCAATCCTCCCCAAACAGGAGCGAGACCCCAGCCCAGGCCCATGTTCTCCCCAAAAAGAGCTAGCTTTGCCAGCACTGACTGCCCAGTGGCACCTCACACCACTGTCTCCACAAGCACACGCAAACACAGGGCCCCTCCTACACCCAGCCAAACCAGGCTCCGGCATGCCAGGCATGTCTGCCGGATGGAGGAACAGGAAGCCTGAGAGAGGCAGACGGGAGGCTGGGGCAGCAGGAGAGGAGCAGGGGTGAGAGGCTGGCCTGCTGCTGGCTCAGGAAACGAGGCTAGAGGGTCTACCATAGGCCTTGTTTACTCATCAGGAAACAGAGAACCAGCAGGGATTCTGACTCACATCTAAGCCAGTCCCGCCCCAGCCATGACTACCACCTGGGAAGAGGCGGCCCTTTTCACTGAAGGGTCTTATAAAATGAGTTGCCCAAGGGCTGTCTGGCCACCAGACTAGGACCAGCCTGGAGAACAGCTTCCCTACTGCCTTACCTGCCACCACCCAGAGATTACCTCCAGAAAGTATAATTCTGGCAGGACAAGGTGGCTTTTACCTATAATCCCAACACTCAAGGGGTGTGAGGTTAGAGGATAATTTATTCCAGGTTAGCCTGGACTACAGAGTGAGCTGGTGTCAAAAATAAAAAACAGTACAGTTCTGCTCTGGCCACTGCCTGCTTCTACTGACTTCTGTGGATCTCCATTACAGGAAAGGCCCGCTATACCAGGCATCTAGCCTGTGAAAGCCACTGAAGCCAACAGCCCCACATGGCTCTCACCATGCAGCCACCTCTCCTCAGAACGTCCAGTTGCCACCAGCCCCCAAGAGCAGCCTCCACCAAGAAGCTGCCCAGTACTCAAGCCTCACTTTTCTTCCCTGTCCTGTAGACTTAACAGTCATGGCTCCCATGGCCCAGAGGAGTCCTGGCTATTTTCCCTGAGTCTGCTTAGAAGCTGGCTCCGAGTGGGATGCTCCCCCTGACACAGTGGGAATGACCCAGCCAAAGTCAGTCCCTCCTCTGG